TGGACCCAACGTTTACACTAAATGGTCTTTGGGTCCAGCTATCTTATGAAGGCCCAAGGACTGTGGGTAGATGCAAGATTAGCCCATCAGGTATAATCCTTAATGGTCTTACACTTAACCTCTCAGCCCTTAATGATCAAACACTGCCCGAGAAGAGATGACCTCTCCCTCGGCTGCAAGGTACAGTATTGCACTCTCTTTCTCATGGACCCCGAAAATTAAAACCTTTTGTAAACATTTTGAAACCATAACATATATAAGTATATCTCTATATAAATATATTTTGCAAAATCAAATTTCAAACACATTTGAAATTTATTACCAACAATTTAGGTTTCCATCACAGAGAGTGCATTTTCCCGATCATTCACTTTGTCCGACAAAGGGCTTGATCTTATCACTATGATCACCCACTCAGATGAAATCTCGGACTGTCCCAACATACCCAAGTTTTGACCCCCTCTAAGGATCTCACTGATTGGCACATCAAATACAGTCCAATCTGACACCTAGTGCAGTATCATAATCGAGTCTATGGGTCATGTGTAACATTCCAGTTTTTCCCATCTATCTCCAATGTCCATGGCAATACTAGAATTTTGGTCATGTTCAGGGTTTCAAGAAAACTCACACTACATGTACCTTAGGTCTCACCCTGACAGTTAAGACAAGCCACCCCAACCAACTTGACAGTACACCAGTGCTAGCCTTGTTAGGATAAATCTTTCCAGATTTATCTAACGACTATGAAGATTCTAAACTAGCACGAGTCTCATATGTGTCCAGTTTAAGGGTATTATACAAAAACACACTACAATAACATTAATCAAATATGTACTTTATTCATTTACAGTAAATATCATAATGTACATCATGCTAAGAGCATACACTATCTAACAAGGGAAACATCTCAACTGACCCACCTGTTGGTGAGACCCAACAACCATCAGCAAGAGTTGATGAACCAAACAATGGTGATAGTGACTAGATTTCGGCTACAAGCACCAAAACTCTACGCAGGAAGAGACCATCTTAGTTTTGTAAAGCAATGGTTGATTAGGCTACATTAGCTGATAAGAGGTTTGATAGGTTAGTTGAGGCAATAAATGGATTGCGAACAAGGGTAGAGAATCCAACATCCATGTCTTCTGTGCTAGTAGAGGTGAACACCATTGAAGGGCTTGAGCATAATGACTATGCCAAAATATATGAGGTTTTCCATGACTTAGATGCGAGAGAGTTTTTTATGAACATGCCCCCCACCCTTAGGAAGAGTTGGGTGATGAATGTCATAGGTCGTTGAACATGGTGGTTGTCTAACTTTGATAAAAGTTGACTAGGAGTTTTTGTTTGTTTGTTTGCTTTTTTTTTTTTGTGAGGAATTGGTTGTTTGGATGGTTAACCTTGAAACACATATGACTTGATGGTTTGATTTTTTATTTTTTATTTTATGGTAAATGGATGGTTTGATAGATACATATTGTGAAGACAGGTTTATACATATTTTTTGTTATGGATGTAGATGTTGGTGAATGCAAGTTTTAATTACTCTCATTTGTTGTTATGGATATATAGGTACATGGTGAATGGATGGATTTGGGGAGAGATGTATGATGAATGCAATTTTATTTGCTCTTATTTGTATGCTTTTTTCCTTGATAGTTACACTTGACATATGTCCATGGTGTATGGATGAGATGGGTAGATATGTATGGCTATGTATTAGATGTTTGTGACAATATTATGGGCTTGAGGTAGGTGGATGATTACGGGAAACATGTGTTTGATTGTCATGGTGTAGGTGTCAATGTATGATTATGGGTCATCACCATAAGCATTTGTCATTTGACATCATGATCCAACCTTGATATGTATCTTATAGTCATTCATTATTCATATGCTAGATCAAAATGGTTGACAGCCTAACTAGGATGGCATTGCTTTCAGCAATTATACTTGTTGCAGTTGATGATGAAGAGCAACAGATGATGACAAATATCCTCATTGTGAGAGAATTGGAAAAAGAAGATATGTCAATCCCTAAGACACCCTACCATGATGACATGTTAACAAGGTCAAAATATTTAAAGAATGTCATCTACGGTGGTGGCACTAGATACTTGGATATGTTCAAACTAACACCAACAGTGTTTCTTAGATTAGTAGCCTTGTTGAGACAGAGAGGGTTAGTGAAAGACAATCGGTATGTATCAGTTGATGAGCAAGTTGAGATTCTATTACAAGTGATAGGGCACAACAAATCTAACCGGGATACTGTAGACCGTTTTCAACATTCTAGTGAAACAATTTCATGACACTTTAATAGTGCTTTGAAGGCCATCTATGAGTTTGGCAAAGAAATTGTGCGACCCGGTGATATGACAGTTGTTCCACCCCATATTCTCAATAATTCGAAGTATTTTCCATGGTTTGAAGTAAATCATTCTAATTGCCAGGTGTTTTACTTCTCTTTGAACCACTATAACAAAATGTTTGCCTCTCTCTCTTTTTGCAGAATTGTGCTGGTGCTATAGATGGTACACATGTCCATGCATGTGTTCCAACTAGTGAACAAGTGCCATTTAGGGGACACAAGTCAATCACCACCCAGAATGTGATGTGTGCAAGTTCATTTGACACGTTATTCACTTTCGTTGTAGCAGAGTAGGAGGGTGCTGCTCATGATTCAAGAGTATTTTTGGAAACAGTCCAAAACCCAAATAATAGGTTTCCTCTACCACCAGAAGGTTAGCAAAACAACCAGAAATAACTATAATTGTATTAAAATCACCAATACACTAATAAATGCAATTGCATTTTCGTATAGGAAAGTATTATGTTGTTGATTCGGGTTTTACAAATATGCTTAGATTTTTATCTTCATACCGATCTGAGAGATACCATCTGAAAGACTTTCAAGGGAGAGGTGATTGTCCAAGGAATGGCAAACAATACTTTAATTATGTGCATTCTTCATTGAGGATTGTCATAGAGCGGTGTTTTGAAGTTCTAAAAGCACGTTTCCCAATTTTGAAGTTGATGCTTCCATACCCAATTCAAAAGCAAATTAGGATTGTGTTTGCTTGTTGTGTGCTACACAATTTCATCTAAATGTTGCGGATAGAGGATCCGCATTGGAATAGATTCCTACAAGAGGATGTTTCCGTTGAAGGAGAGGGAGGGATGTTTCATAATGTAGCACATACTCCTATTGACATTGGGTCACAGGCCACTAGACAGATGGAACAATTTAGAGATGAAATCATGTTCAAGATGGCTAATCACTACAACCTATGTGTTAATCGTAATTGACCAATAAATAGGAGACAATCTACATAGATTGTGTGGGTTTTGATTTGATACTTGGACTGTTTGTTTTCTCTTTGAACTTGTATGTGTACTTCCCACTGTTTGTGTTAGTTTGAATACTTTGGTTGTTACTTGTTTGTATTTATTAATGTTTGGATAAGACAAATTAATTGTACTTATGGAATGATAGTTATGGCCACTATTCATAAGGGACCTATTTGTGCATGCAGACAAGAATGTATGAGGTTATTCATGGCAAAAACCGAAAAAAAAAATTATGGAAGATGGCTTTGTACGAAACCAACAAATCAATATTTGTCAATCATATTATTTAATATGAAAAATGAGTAATGTGTCATCGCTTTTTGTTGTTATTATATTTCAGCCGCATGAATACAACTTCATGTGGGCAGATAATTGTATACCAGATGAACCTCAAGTGCAGATCATTGAACAACACAATAATGCTCATGACAATGCGGACTATAAGAAGAAACGTGTTGTTGCACTTGGAGTCTGTGCATGCTACTTTGGAATGATGTGTTTCATCATTTTAATGATGTTGTTAATTATCATTTTGTTAGTATGGAAATGACTTGTAAGGATACTCTTTGCAAATTCTTATAAACATGTTTATGTAAGGTACACCCATTCAGAGATACAATATCATATTGTTAGTTGGACCAATTAAAATTAATTCGAGTGGGCCCCACAAATGGTTTGTGGACCCCACATTAAGGACATAAGGACCCCACCCATGTTAAAGCCATACAGGAACCATATGGTGTTTATAATCAATGCAAGATAGTACTCAATATGTGTGGGGCCCACACAGTACATAAATCAATGTAAGGTAGCTAGGACCCACAATACCCGAATCCACTATTATTTGGGTAATTGTGACCCAACCATGATTGGCCAATTGTCATATTGTTACTTGGACCAATTAAAATTAATCTAAGTGGGCCCCACAAATGGTTTGTGGATCTCACATTAAGGACATGAGGACCCCACCCATGCTAAAGCGATACGGGAATCATAAGGTGTTTGTAAAACGAAAGATAGTACTCAATATATGTGGGGCCCACATATTGTTATTGTAGATGGGTCCCACATGACCCACATCCACCATGGTTTTGGGCCACTGTGACCCAACCATGATGGGTCAAATGTCAAACATGCACCAAGTAGCCCAGATCAGTAATGTGCAATAACCACCACTTACCAAACAGTCTTTGGGGCTGATAATGTCTTCCAACAGATCGACAAATATGTACACTTACCAAACAGTCTTCGGGCTGCTCAGGTCTTATGTCAAAAGCTCAATGCTTCTTTTGACTGTCAGATCTATAAGAAGATCTTTTCAAAAAGACTTATTAAACGGGCTCAGGGCCGATTGGTAAATCTTTTTAGGAAGATCTTCTAGTAGCTCTAGCAATTAAAAGATGCAGTGAAATTTTACATTAAGATGTTGACAGCCTAAAGACAGTTTGGCTTAAATATATCTTTCCGCATGAAGACGAATGGAAAAATACTGAAAAGCTAATGAGCTTCCCGAAATCAGCCCAAAATGGGCTTTTCACGTCTTTTCGAGATAGCTACATCTACCACAAATCAAAAATGAAAAGACCGAATCACAATCTGCCAAACTTGTTAATAGCCAACAGACCATGCAAAAGACGCACCAAACAGAGCCTAATATTCACGATTTTGCATAAAATTTCTTTCTGATTGCATTTTCTTCTGCAAGTACCAACTATAACAAGTCAAAGTGGTGTTCCCCACATTATTTATTGGGACAAGGATATTATCATTTTATGCTCGGCGGCAGCTACTGCCATGACTATGCTGCACATTCCTAGTTATCAACCAGATGATACATCTAGAAGAAGAAGAAAAACAAGACTAGCATTTCTCTCCTGTCAAACTTCGATAAACATTATTGATTTCTACCTGCAAAAATATCATGAGACCAGATTTGAAACAATGCAATATTAATAGTTAGAATAAGAATTATAATAAAAGAAGACAATGATATATTTACCTGATAATGTTTAAGCAGTCGATCTCTTCTTTTCTTCAACGTAGGAGTTACCAAATCTGTTTGCATTTCAAATGGCACTGAATCCAAAATAACTCCTCTGATATACTCAAAACCTCGCAGCTGGTTTTGAAGGGAAGAATAAATCAAGTTAAACCGTCTCATAATATTAAGCAAAATCTCTTCCAATAAAGTATACAGAAAAGAAGGTAGACATGAAGGTACAGCTCCTTTAGACCTGATATCAATCTCTCTCTTTTTTTGGTCCTGGGTGACAAATACGGAAGCAGCCCCATAACTCAACATCAATACCATAATGAATCATTACAACCACCAGGATCAAAGCTCAAGTCACACAGTGTGATACTCCAATTTAAGTTTTATTTAACAAAGGTAAGCCAGTGATGAAGTCATCTCCTAATGGGTGCGTAGTATAAGCTGTATATGGCAATGGAAATGGGAGATGAACTATCCAGAAACAATGAGATTCTAGAGGAGAAACGCCAATTATTAAGGCAATCAACATGCATTTTGACAGACTAATCAGTCTCCTACACTTCCCCACCCCCAAAAAAAGAGAGAGAAAGAGACAAGCTGATTGTTGATGTTTCAGGAGACAAAACTTGAGAGACTAAACAAGGAAATTCATATAACAATATGATGCTAATGTTGAATACAGCTATCCAATAACAAGGAAATTCATTATCAAGTGATAAGAATATGCATCCAGATCACTTCCAAGTACATAAAATGCACTTTTTTAAATTTCATAGATACCATTAATAATCATTGACTCAAAATACAACAAGACTTACCTGGTTTTTCTCGGCTACAGTTTTTAGCTCAAGGACAACATAATTCCGCAGATGATCGAGCAAACATAGTTCAGAGGAGGAACCCTTATGACCATTTAACTCTGCCCACTTCCGGGTGTTCTCTTCATGCAGTATGACCACTGCTACCAGCATTGGCTTGTAGCTGTCTCCATACACCCATATCTTAAAGAAGAGGAACAGCCGAACAAGAAGCCATCTTAGGGACCTCAATGTAGGTAACCAGCAGAGGAGGAATTCTTTCGAGAAATAAAATTAGAAAATTAAGAAAATCACTTACATCTGCAACAATAGGAGCAAAACTATAGATTTTCTCCAGATACTCAACTGCAACATACTCTCCTTGAGAGAGTTTGAAAATATTCTTCTTTCTATCAATGATCTTTAGGCCCCCATTAGGCAGAAGCTCACCTATATCCCCTGAGAGAAGAAAAAAACAATGTTACTTTTTCAAGATATACCATAAATCTTCTGATCAATGTATAGAAGAGAACAGCTATGTTCAACCTGTATGAAACCACCCATCTCTAATGGATTCCCTGGTCAGTTCAGGATTTTTGTGGTACCCTGAGAATATGCTCTTTCCTCTGGCACATATCTCACCACGTGGAGGATTGCCAAATGGACTGTAGCCCATATCTGGAACTTCTTCAAGACGTAGGTCAGAATATACAAACGGAACACCAACACTGCCAAACAATGGCATTACATCTGGGAAGCCTAGTGTTGTCATCCCGCATGTCTCTGTCAGTCCTGTATAAGCCACAAAATACTGATGGAATTCCCAACCATTTCAATATATCTATTATATCTATTATATCTATCTATCTACCTATCTATCTATCTATCTATCTATCTATCTATATATATATATATATATATAGATGATGATTATGGATGATTTGAAGGGTCGAAATGTATACTTAAGAAGGCTTGAGGATGAAGGAAATGGAATCTAACAGTATTTTTTGCCTTTTTCATAGAAATTACAAGAATGCCACTCTCTCCTACCAACTCTCTCTCTCTCTCTCTTGCTTTCTTTTCTTTTAAATTACAAGAATGCCACTCTCTCTCCAACTAAGGGAGACCTTAGCTCGGCATCTCAACTGCTAGGGGACCTGCAATCAAAGGTAGTCGAGTTCGAGCCGCACCGAACTCGAACTTCTAAGCTCAAGCTCAAGTCTCTAATTCAAATCGAACTCAAGCTAGACGACACCTCGACCACTGAGGGAGACCTCGGCTCGGCACCTCAATCACTAAGGGAGGTCTCGGCTCAGCACCTTGACAACTGAGGGAGACCTCAACTTGGCACCTTGTCAACTAGGGGAGACCTTAGCTCGACACCTCACCTGCTAGGGAAACCTCAGCTTGACACTTCAACAACTAAGGGAGACCTCGATTTGGCACCTCGGCAATTGAGGGAAACCTCAACTTGGCACCTTGGTTGCTTGAGAGACCTGCTATCAAAGGTAGCCGAGCTCGAACTTCCGAGCTTTTGACTCGAGCCGAGCTCAAGCTCGAGCTTAAGTCTCTAATTTGAATCGAGCTCAAGCCTAATAGTTTATGAGTGAACCCCTACAATGCAGGGCCCCCTCCGCTAGTAAATATATTAAGCTGAAATGTGTACGTAAGAAGGCATGAGGATGAGGGAAATGGAATCTAACAGTATTTGTTGCCTTTTTCTTAGAAATTACAAGAATGCCACTCTCTATCAACTCTCTCCCTTTTGCTTTTTTTTCTTTCAAATTACAAGAATGCCACTCTCTCCTACCAACTCTCTCTCTTGCTTTTTTTTCTTTCAAATTACAAAAATGCCTCTCTATCCTACCAACTCTCTCTCTTTCTTATAAATTACTAGAATGCCATCTCTCTCTCTTGCCATCTCTTTCTCTCTCCTTATAAATTACAAAAATGCCACTCTTTCTCCAATTGTGGGAGACCTCAACTCGGCATCTCAACTACTAGGGGACTTGCAATCAAAGGTAGTCGAGTTCGAGCTAAGCTGAGCTCGAACTTCTAAGCTCAAGCTCAAGTCTCTAATTCGAATCGACCTCGAGCTAGACAACACCTCGACCACTAAGGGAGACCTTAGCTCGGCACCTCGGTCACTGAGGGAGATCTCAGCTCAACACCTCAACAACTGAGGGAGACCTCAACTCAGCACCTTGTCAACTAAGGGAGACCTTATCTCGGCACCTCGCCTACTAGGGAAACCTCAACTCGACACTTCAATAGTTGAGGGAGACCTCGGTTTGGCACCTCGGAAATCGAGGGAGACCTTAGCTCAAAACCTCAACTCGGCACCTCGGTTGCTTGAGAGACCTGCAATTAAAGGTAGTCGAGCTCAAACTTCCGAACTTTTGACTTGAGCCAAGCTTGAGCTTGAACTCCAGTCTCTAATTCGAATTGATCTCGAGCCTGATAGTTTATGAGCGAGCCCCTGCAGCAGGGCCTCCTCCGCTAGTATATATATATATTAAAGGAACATCGTCAGGCGAGAGTTCCCCACTTTTAGACACGTGGTGCTTCAATTTTTTCAAAAAAACAGCATTTTAGAAGTAGTTAACTATATTTTCAAATAGAATTTAAACAACTCTTTCAAAATAGAATTGTCTATGTTAGCATCTCCTCTCCATCATTGTACACTATTTGTCTAAACTTACATTTTTTTAATTTTTAACATTATCTATTGCTTCTTAAAATATCTCCACCTTCCTAAAATACTCAAATCAAAATTGCCATACAAGTACTCAATCACAAACAAAATAATAGTTGCCCTGTACTTAGGATTTTGCCATGCCTACTACGTAAGTTAAAAAGAAGAAAAACCATAAATTGTTAATTACAAATTAAACCTCATTTAATTTTCTAAATTAAATAAAAAAAATCAAAATCAAATTTAGCATATAGGCACAAGTTCTGAATCTCAATTGAAATAATAAATGATGTGACCATGCTTTTAGATAAAATATGGTAAGCCTTTTAAATCAAATAAAAATCTATAAAAACAAAATAAAAAAATAAAAACTTAACTTAAATTTCTAATATAGGTTATTTAAAAAACAATCTAAATTTCTGCTTATTGAAACAATCTAAATTCTCAATATATAGCTCAAGGTGCATTTTTCGGTACTTGTAAGTTGTACCAAAGAACATTTTTTTTCTGTACCGTAGAATTTCTCAATAATAATTGATTACATACCATAGCCTTGGGTAAAATAGGCACAGCTAGTAACTCGCAAGAATTCTTCCACCTCAGAGCTCAAGGGGGCACCACCAGATATTATTAGTCGAACTCGACCACCCAGTCCATCCTTAACCTACAATCACAGGATAACTAAATTAGATAGCCAAGGAACAGGTAAGGACTATGTAGCGGAAATATCATATAACTGGTGAACCACTTTATTGAAGTGGGCGTGTGTTCTGGAAATGTAAATTGTTGCAGCCCTGGATCCTAACCATGTTAGGTGATTGCTAACAGAGAGTGTGTTGCTTTCATCAAGACAGCTCAAACATTGTGGTTTGCGCTATCCAAAGGCTGTGTTTGGAAATGATGCAAATAAATGTGAATGTAAATATATAGAGTGTAAAACAGTTTATATAAATTGTAAAATTGGGTTAGTTTTGTACTGACAAATTTGCATTCTTACCAAACAGATTTTTAGCTTTAATGGATGTAAACATGTATTCCAATAAAGCATATGCATTTTTTTTATCAAAAGCCCACTTGAATGCAAATTTACTTTTTTTTTATTGATGTACTTTTACATCTTATTATCAATGTAAATATGCATTGGTCTGTCATTTGTTAATTCATAAATGTAATGTTGCCAAACACAGGCAAAAGTGAACTAGAATGTAAATTTACCCTAAACTGGGATTTACACTCTATTTGCATTGTTTCCAAACGCAGCCAAAGTATAGAAAACAAGAATAATTTGTAATCAACGATTCCTCGCAATAATTTCACTACTGAAAATAGAAGGATAAGCACAACAGGATGATAGACAGCACCTTCCTGAATGCTAGTAAGTCTGCCAGTGGAGATGCATATTTCTGTTTGTACCCTAATCTCATCCAACCAAGTTTGCTGCATTGCAATAAAGAAATGCAACTGTCATTATTCAAAAAGTACTAAGGCTCCATTTGGTTCACGGGAATAGGGTTCTTGAATCAGAATTGGTATGGGCCATTTCGATTCCAACTGTTTGGTTGAACGAAATCAGTATCATATTCCCATTTCTGATAGAATGACATTCTCCCATTTAAGAGAATGGTGGTCATTCCCTCCCTCTCCCTTGGGAATTGAATCCCATTCCAGATGATTCCGATTTTCATTCTGATTCTTGTCTGAACCAAATAAACTATGGAAATATACCATTCCAATTCTGCTTCCAACTATGAAGTAAACGGACTGAACCAAATAGTAAGTATACCAACTTACTATTTGTAAAGAATGTCAAAGATTTTCCTCTTTATTGGACTGAGTTCTTCTATTTTCTTCATTGCTCCTGAAACCAGATGCATTTGTTACATCATCTTGAGTCTAAATAAGCATTAATCTATTAAAAAATAAATGGAATATGCTGAAAGACGTGCAACATGAATTCCTTGCCTTCACGCACTCTTTCAAAAACTCGTGGAACACCAGCAAAAAAAGTGGGCTTCAATTCCATCATATCTTCCTTCAACGCATTAATATCCTTCAAATGAAAGATAAGATCAACAACATTTTCTTTTATGAAAAATAAAATAAAGTATTCAACTATATATATATATATGGAAGACATAGTTGAGGAATGAGAAAGAAACTTGAGGATTTCCAAGTTCAACTAATAATGTTCATGATTAAATCACATACCCCATGATAGTAGCCAATAGAAGCACCTCTGTGGAAAAAATATTCCTCGATCATGCGGTCCAGAATATGAGCAAGAGGAAGAAAAGAAAGATAGACATCATCCACCGTCATCTATCAGTAACCCACTTGAAAATGTCAGGGAAATACAATTAAAAAAAAGGAGAAATATGAAATAAAAAAGTAAACCTACGGAAACCTATTTAACAAGAATATCAACATATTACACTGTCTGACTCTGATGAGATACCCAACTTTTTATCACATTTTAGGTATATTTGGCATTGCAAAGTCTTGGCATGTGTCTGTAATATGAATACAATATGATGTTCAACGCATCCAGATTTAATAAAGTGCAATTTCAGTTTTACATAAATAAGTATAATACCTCAACAGACCATTAACTAAGGTACCATAACAATCTTAACCACCACATAAGATATCTAATTTAAATTTGACCAGGTATTATCATCAAACCATCAATCAATGACAAACTTATTGAGAGTAGAAAAAAAATAAATAATAAATATGACTGAAAATCAATAGACAAGGTCAACAATTTGGAAGGATAATTAATTAGGACCATTAAATAGGATAATTCTTGTTACAAAAGATCCCCAAGGTAAGATCATCAAATCTGACACATACCCTCTCTTCCCAAATCCACTGCTATTATGTCAACAAACCAATATTAGAATTATCACCAAATACCTTACATACACTCTCAAAGTTCAGGAAAAAAATTGAGTTCTCTGTTGAAAAAAAAAAAAAACATCATCGAAATTAATAATGACCATTGATCACATCAACAGAGAGTGGATAAAGTGGGGAAAGAATATTGTAGACAAATAATTCTCTTAGATGTTCAACCTTTTACCTTGTCTTCAAATTGTTCCAGAAAAAGATCAACTCCTTTCACATTGATTGCAATAGTTTCATGCGTCAAAACAACACCTTTTGGGTTACCACTGGTTCCACTTGTGTACATTATTGTACATACACTGAAAGGCTGAGGTGGTGAAAGTTCAACTGGATTTTCTTTTCCCTGATAAGCAAGAAACACAGGACATCAACTAAACAGACAAAGAACTAAAGGGGCTAGTAGGAATCTACTATAAATAAAAAATGACACTTGCCATGCCCACTGTGTATGTATATGAGTTCAAAGTTATTAAGTACACCATATCAATTGCAAATCAAAAAATGTACAATGGAATTAAATTGTTAGGTCAAGTTATGTATATGGTTACTCCAATGCTTTATTCAATGTTACAGATATAGACACAACAGTATGAAATAATATGATCTTAAGAAATGGGAAAAGAATAATCCAGTACAATAAAGGACCAAAATTCTAATTAATGTAAATTAACAAACGACATAAATCAAAAGTTTCAAGAAATTATACCATGAATTGCTCCCTGAAGAATTGTAAAGAAACACTACCTCCCAGCAGGTCAACACATGACCACACCCAAATGTACAAGATATTTTTTCAAAAACACATAACTTAATTTTTGGACATTATGCATCAGATATGGAATGAGCCTGGATGATCAAGCTTGGTACAATGGTTAATTAGTTTGCTCCATTGCAACCTGGATGATCAAGGTTCAAATCTTGGAAACAGCCTATGTATCATCAGAAATAAGGTTGTGTACATCTGTCCCTCCTCAGACTCCGCATTGGCAGGAGCCTCGTGTACTGGGCTGCCTTTTTTTATATGAATTCACATCTGCACCCCACACAGCACATTCCTGCCGTGTATTGGAAACATCTCCCGATGATAGTACCAGACCCAATGATATCATCATCGGAAGATGTTCTCAATACAAGTGGGACGTTGTGGGGTGGCCTGTCGTGGGGCACAGATCTGAACTCTTTTTATATAGAATGAGAACATGATTTTTCAGAAACTGTATGCCTGGACCTTCAATTTTTGTGTGGCAAGAGGAGATGCTATGTAGAATTAGAGCACAATTTGTTACTCATGTTGGAGACCAAGATACCTCTAAATAAAGAAAATACAACACATTTGAACTATTTTCCGCATTTTCAACATGCTTTATAACATTAACCAATATACTGACAAGAAATGCACTTCTATGTTCTGGTTTATTAAGCCATCAAATTACTATGCAGAAACTAACCATCTCGAGGAACTCATTCCAGGAGTACGGTTTCATTCCAGTGATGCCAAGATCATCTTTCACTTCACTTGGGAAGGAAGTAAAGCAGATTATTGCTGTAGCCACAAGGAGAAATCAAGAAAATGTAAGACAAGCCCATTCTACCAATTGAAGCCACGAGATATTTTCTCCAAATAGAAGTATGCTTACATTTGAGTCGTTGAGCTGCTCTGCAATCAGGACTCAGAACCTGTAAATAAAAGTAAACTTTACCCTTTAGTATGATGAGAGTGGTAAATATAAAAAAGCTAGATTTATGCGGAAATTAAGAAGGTTCCTCACTTCTTTCACTTTCTTATCTTGGACAAAAACAAAATCTATCTCTGCGTGATCTATAATGAAATTGACAGCCCCTGGCCCTGCATTCGAAAGACATCAAAGAGAGTTCAAATAAATTACCTAAAATATCCTGAAAATGAATAAAAATGAAACAAAGGAAAAAGATAACTCAACTCGGCCTTAATCCCAACTAGGACTGTCAATGGGACGGGTCCGATCCGATGGACCTGATAGACCTGAACCAGTTGGGCTGGTTCTGGGTTTTGTTACAGTGTCTCGATAATTATTGGTTCGGAACCGGTTCCATCCAGTCTTAAACTGATTCAGAGCTGACCCGAGTTATATACATATATATAAAAATATATTATAATATTAAATAAATTATATATTATATATTAAATATATTTATTTATTTATGATAATCGGGTCTATCAGGTCAAACCCAACTGTACCGAGAACCATAGGTTCAATTCTGGGTCTAAAATTACAGACCTTATTGGGTCCGATTTGGTTCCGGGTCATCAATATTTCATATTGGATCGGTTCCAATTTTAGCTGGTCCCAACCTAACCTGACCTGTTGATAACCCTAATCCCAACTATTTGGGATGGGCTAAAGAATGCAAAAAATGATAAATAAAGAAAAACAAGTGAACCTTGTATAGGAAATATAGAGTACCTATAGGTAGAATTAGGAGATAGTCTATCATTATATTATATTATATTATATTATATTATATTATATTATATTATATTATATTATATTATATTATATTATATTATATTATATTATATTTCGGGGTCTAGGGAGGGGTGGACAAGATACGGACCCAACCTTTGGCATTTTTGCACTAGATGGCTACTCACATTCTCATTTTTGTCGGCCCAATATTTTACCATTGTACCAAGTAATGGCCTCCACGTACGATATATTAGCCCTTACAAATAAAGTGATAAATTGCTTTCATGTGGGATAATAGGAAATGACAGGTAGAAATAGAAATAAAGCAAAATTGCAGGGGGTACAAACAAAAACTTCTAACAGCAGAAAATTATGAAGAAAGAATTACCAAGGCTATCATAAAGTGGAACACAAATTAAACTGTGAGCATTGCATGCCTGCACAAGATGCAAACTACTTAATTAGACAACTCGTGGTAGGAAGAAACTTAGGCAATGTAGGCTGTGTTTGGTTGCAGTGTAAATTTATTTGTACTAGTACAAATTTATTTGAAACAAAAATAGATCAGAATTTACATCCAAATCATTTGTACTGTCATGGTTTTGCATCAGTGCAAACTTATTTGCATTGCAACCAAACACAGCCTTAATGGATAAACAAGAAGAAAAACAACAGACCTCCATTGCCACAATCCATTGAGGACAGTTTGAACCATATATTCCAACGCAGGAACCCTTTCACAATACAATAACATTGAATTCTTTATATGGATTTCAACGATATGGAAAATTGATTTCAATTAGAAGTGCCCTAGTTGATGTAAGTGCTTACAGGTTTAGCACCAGATGCCCGCAATGCAGAACCAATTTGCAAAACCTCCTCATAGACTTCTTTATAAGTTTTCCACACATAAGGCCCTAGCTGAAGCCCAAATTAATTCATTGAACATTTAAGGAATGCAAAAGAAGGAAACAACAGTGCAGAGTTAAATAACCTATATTTCCAAAAAAAAAAAATCTGTAGCTTCCAGCAAGAAATTACCTTCCCATTTTTTACCTCACGCCTTCCAAGCATCTTATTTCCAGGATATTTCTCTACAGAGTTCCTGCACAATAAGACAATATTGTTGCTGCTAAAGACTAAAGAGATGAAATACTTATGGAAAAGTTTGGCCACTCAGGGATTGTTTTACATCATATTTTTCTTTTCATCTGTTTCTAAAATTGCTACATCACTAAAAATTAGAACATGTTCTTGAACTGTGTTTTTATTTTGAGAAGCAGAAAAAAATTATTGTTTTTTGAAACCATCAAAGTAATGGTTTTAAAACAAAACCAAATTTTGGAGTATATAGGTATTATATGATTTGTGAAACATGAAATCAAATACCAGATGAAAATATTCTTTAAACCAGAAATTCAATTACATGCTTTTGGTTTCAGTTTTGGAAACCAAAAAAAAAACATACAAAACCAAGAACATGATTTCGGAGTTTTTGTTTTAAGAACCAATTTGTTTTCAAACAAGACGGTTTTGATTTGTTTTTGGAACTCATAACAAGAAAAACAATTCAATGAAGAACACCTTAGCCTTGGAAAGCATAGAACCAGAGTACCAGATACACCATTAATGTACCTCTTTCAAATTACCTGAAAATATCCCACGCAGTACTAGTCTCAGGATCCATTGGTGGAAATCCATTCTTCGACAGTAGATTCCTATACACTGGACCAACTGACGGCATACCATCCTTCCCTTCCTTTCCACTCTCTACCTCAATAGCAAGAAATGATGGTACACCATCCTCCCCAAGCTTTACTTTGTTTACTTGATCAGAGAAGGCCTTCATTTTCCTCCTTGATTGCTGACCCTGAACAACAAGAACACCATTGCCCAAACTCTTAAATAACAAATTAAGGAGTGTACAAGCTAAAAAGAAAAGGTCAAAAGTTAGCAACTTAAAGCAACCTTGAGCAACTCGAAACTCAAGTCATATACTATGAGCAACCATAAAAGCAGACAGTGATTGTATATAAATAAAGAAAGTATTGAAAAAAAGGAAAAGGTGAAGAAACCATAATAAAATACAGAGATCAAATGGACTAAGCAAGCGGCTTTGAAACTCGAAACTCAACTGCTTATGCGTGAGATGCAATTAATTTGACATCTAGCATCTAGCACCTTTAAGCATAACCTGCAGTTTGAGAATTAAGAAAAATCCAATGAACCCAGATATAACAAAGGAAACACCGACTGCATTCAAATTTCAAAAGGGGAAACACCACAGCTCGCATTGAGTTCAATGGCAGAAACACATGATCACCTTAAAAGCAGTCATAAATAAAGTTATCATAAACAAGCAAACAGACCAAACCCCAGAAAACCCAGAAGGGCAGAAGGTGAAGCTCCTATGATCCAAACAAAACCATTTGGCCAACTCCATCAACAAAAAGAAAAGGAAATGCCAATCCAAGAAACAAAATAGAAAACCCAACACCAAGAGAACGAAAAGCAGAGCAGAAAAAAGGGAAGGAAGGACTTACAGAGAGAGAAACACAGCTCCCAAGTCATGTGAGTGTCATCTGCTTGGTTACTCGAATTTATGGGACAGCGCCATCAGCATTGTTAATATGGTAGTTGAAATAGGTGAATGAATTCCCGTTTTAATCTCTCTTCATTCAAACTTGATAGCAGACATAAAACCACCCCGTATTATTCCATCGTGCGAAGAAATAGTAAGCTTAAAACTTAGTAGCAGGCTAGCAGCAGCAACCTCGTCCTTCCTCTAAACAAATCAAGATCTCTTCTTTTGCATAAATAAACAAATTTTGCTGTGCCAGAAGAAATCGAACATCATTTTTTTTTTTGTGGCGTAGAAACAAAGTTTCCTCTCCTCATTTGGGCGCCAATGTCTTGTAACCGTTTTTGTGAAGTCGGCACCATTGTTGTAAAAAAAGAAAGAACAGAAATTCGGCACAGCTCAAGAGTCAAGTCGACCCGATTTCATTACTCCGTCCTGCCAAAGGACCACTCTTCAGTGCCTTGGGACGATCCTTACCGTCCACACCTCTTAAGAAGGGACCCAATGTCCCACAAAATTATAATGGTCGAATGGATGTTACAACAACCAAACCATCAGCTCAATTTAAACTTTTGTGGTACGTTTGTTTGATACCGTACGATATTTAATAAACAACAGCCATGAGCTAGCCGGTTATATACGGTATGATACCGGCACAACGTTGAACAGTAGGGATATCCGTGAATATTGACGAATACCACTTGATTTGTACGTGCTTGTTGATTATTTTTTACCCACCAGATATTAAGGGAAGATATACACAGAGATATTCTACTTCTGGGTGGTCACAATTAAAGAAGGACCTAATTTTAGAAATCAACTCTCAAGTCTCAAGTCGTCATAAGCATTCTGTGAATTATGCCGAGCAAGTGGTGTCATGTGCACGTGGAAACATTTAAAAACCTGAAATTGGTTTATTACCCTTTGAATGTGTTTTCGATGATGTTTTAAAATTTGACACGGAACCCGAACTACTTTGGCCACTGGTTTTATTGTCTAGTTTGAATGGATGGCCAATTTAATTTAAAAAATTAAAAAAAAATAGTAAAAAAATATTATCTGGATCAATTGCTTAATTGCCCAACGGGTTATTGACAGGTGAAATGGAAGTAATTGTCTGAACAGTTCTCAGGCCGAAGATTCTGACTCTCCAGATCAACGACGATGGGTCAAAATCCATGGTTTTCGAGACTGCTTTGTCCATGAAATCTATAAAATCCTAGTTCTTTTTCAGATTTGAACTAACATGGATTGAGACCATATAGCGATGTGTCCATGCCATGTCCAGTTCTATAATTTTACAATTGTATTCTCGCAGTTAGTGAGGACATTTTGATAAATTACAAATTTACCATTCATCATAACGTCAATCAATAGATTTTGTCTTGCGAGAATGACTGTTCAGCCCACCTCAAAAATTTTAGTCAACTGTACAGGTGGGGTGAATCCTGACCATGGATTGATATCAAATCTATGGGCAGGATGTGGTATATAAGAGGCTGTAATTTAAAAATTATGCAGTAGACTGCAATATACTTCTCCACTTTGTCTTGAATATTGATTTTTAGAAGTACAATTAAGTACTACTTCCACACAAGTGAAAATTGAGGCGCTTAACTTTCACCCCACACCCCCTAGTAGACTGACTAATAAAGACAAGGAGATCACATCTCCTCCCCACAAGGGGCCACCCCACAATGTCCAACAGCACATCCCTGCTATGTATTGGAAACATCTCATGATGATAGTATCAGAATTGATGATGTCATCATTGGGAGATATTTCCAATATACGGTGGGGATGTGCTGTAAAACGTTGTGGGGCGGCCCCTTGTGGGGAGGAGATGTGAACTCAAAATTCTGAATGAGAGCCCCCCATAATCTACTAAATAATTCTAACCTGAATTAATCAGTCAATTCTCTTTAAAAGACAATTCATCGAGTCATGGAAGAGTCAGATCAAGTCTATACCTTTCACACTCACATCACGAATGAATCTACCGAATTAATAAAAGCATGGCAATCGTCCTTCTTTTGATTTCCACCAGTAATTTTTTACTTTCCTTTAAACCCAGTAGATGATTCACAGAATTCCTTTCCTTTAATCAATAGAGTGTACTTAGTTTATGATGAAGATTCGGATTGGATCCCACAGTGCACCTCACAAAGCGCCCCACAGTAAATCTCATCATAAATTGGAATATTTATAATTCTTGTCATGGGAAATGTTCCCAATACAGGGGTGCGCTCTATGAGCAACCAATGAGAATTCAGTTTCTCTCGACCAAGAAAAGAGTAACCGGGTTCCAGGGACTATGCTAGTATGTTCTTCCTTCTACTAACCTACTCCCAGGCCCATTATAACTGTCACAACTTAATGCGACAAAGAACACAAATGGCTATAGACCTGGCTAATTTAGGTCTGCATCGTTACATTACCGAGAGTCATCATCCATGCTAAATTGCTAACTGTCTAAAATAAATGAGATTGGGATTTATGATGATTTTGTAATTATTATAACGGTTGGCCATTGCCTTTAGGTTTCAACAAACTTGTCAGGGAGTGGTGTGTCAGCTGTTTTGTTCCCGATAAAACTTTGGGACCACGTGGTCAGAATTTTTTTAGTCCCACTGTATAACGATGAATCGTGACGGTGAATTGATGCCAAATTTATGGACAAGATGGGTTTATAGCCGGGGGCTATTGTAGATTATAAGGGATTATCATTCAGAATTCTGTATTGGGTTCCAGTGTATTTAACCTTAAAACTTTCCTAATATGATCTGTATTTATACTTCTCACCATGAAACATGCCATCAATCATATATAAGACAGGAATCTACCATGTGGTTTGGCCAATTGAGCTGACTTGATTGAAGGATTGGTCATCTGAAACCGATTGTTTATTAGTTAAAACCGTTATTGTACTGGTTTGGGTTAGTTTCAACTTAGTTAATTGGTTCAAATAATATAAATTTAAAAAAATAAATAAATAAATTTATGATATATGAGTAGGAGTTTATATTTGCTCCTTAAAGATTGTTTTGATAAGTGAACTTTTTAAAGTTGTATTTTGTACCATTGTTGTTTTTTAGGGAAAAATCTAGGGTGTCGGAAAGAAATGATATCGGAAAGACTTCGACCAATCACAAACTCTCATGAATTTTGATGAAAAATTCACCTGATTGGTTACTACTTTTATAATGTCAATTAATTGGTTTAAGTTTTCTCAATATCATGTATTTCTAACATCATAGCCGAACTCTTTTTAGAAACCAATATTGTTTCTATATAAAGCATTTGGGTTTATCAATAAAAAATTTTAAGGGGTATATTTTTCTACTTGAAGTGTTTTGGATTAGGGATGTCGATTTTTGCTCTACCCATTGGGGCCAGTTCTTTTGCTTGAAGGGTGGATTTTAGAGTTGGGATGTCTTTTGGGGTTCTACAACCTATATAGGTACAAGTAGGGTATATTATTAGGCTAAACCAGACCTGACCCTCCCTAACATGCATATTATTGGAAAGCATATGAACTTTATGTATTAGATGCTGAATTTAATAATATTTTGAACTTTACACAAAGGATAATTGATAGTGTTTTTTACATGTTTCAATCAAATAATTGAAAATTTTTATATTTATTCATGTTATTCTACTTATTTATTGTTTGTATATAACAAGAAATAATAGGAAATTAGATACAGGTTCTAAACTCAATCCACCCTACCCTTAAATGTGGGGAGGGTATGGTCGGGCAGGATTTTGCATTTTTATGTATAGGGAGGGTTTGGATTCTAAAAATCCAACCCACCATGGGTTTAGGGGTAGGTACAAATTAGGAGGTTTAAAGAGGTGAATAGGATTTATAATTTAAAAAACCCTTCCCAAACTCACCCGGTTGCCATTTCTATTTTACATTGATTCAAGGGTGGCAATTTTTAACCCAACCCACCCATTTATTAGCGGGTTGGGTCGTAACTTTTAATATTGGGTTCTTAGTGGGTATGTCAACCCAATAACAAAATTTTAAATGGGTTGGGTGGGTTGGGTCATGGGTGTCCAACGGATATCCATCAATTAAGGATTCTAGTTTTTCATCATTTGTTTATATCTTAGAGAGACATCTCGACAAATTTCTCTTCCTTTACGAGTGGCAAGTCTCCTCCACTACTGAAATATATGTTTTTAGAGGCTGTTGCGTAGAGGCGGTCGAAAGAAAATGCCTCTATAACGTATTAAACGCGACATACTTTCAACGTTTATTATAGAGGCGTTTTCTAACGCCTTCAAATCGGCATCTTTTACCCTTCCTTATATTAGTAGAAAAATAATAGTCGCTGGGGTTTGGCGCCCAAAATATACATTTGCGCGAAAACAAACCCTTCTTCGAAAAACCCTAATCTGAATGATCCTCTTTCCTCAAAACCTCCTTTACCCTCTCTTCTTTTTTCTTGTCTTTCTCTCTTCTCTTTCTTCTCTTTCTTCTCTTTCTGTTGTTGGAATGTTCTTTGTCTTCTCACATTCTAAAGGTCTCTCACGAGCTCTTTCTCATTCTTGCCAAGCATGGATTCTGCAAAGGTTTGGTTTCTTTACCATTTCAAACATTTTTTTCCTAAGGTTTAGCTTATTTACCATTTGAAACATTTTTTCCAAAGGTTTAGCTTCTTTACCATTAGAAACTAACTTTTTTTTATACAGGAGGATCGACAGTCAACAACGTCTTTGTAGGGATGGCTTTTGACAAGTAAATGAGTATTAATCATCATCAACCATTGGCAATGTTAGTCACCCTCGATCGATCCATTCTTGGCTTTGGCCACTATGTAACTGATCCAACATCTATTATTTGAAATCTCCTATGTTATTTTTTTTCTCTAGTGTCTACTTTAGCGTTTCATTTTCCAATTCGGTATAGGATTTGCTTTTCCTGTTCTCTTTACCTCTTCGATTATGGCTTTGGTTTCTAACTTGAAGGACTAGCTATAGGGTTGGGAGAGATAGAGAGCCCCAAATTCTTATTTACCCAATTTTGTTTCCTTCACTTTAAGGCACCAAACAGAAGAAAACAACCTTTTGAAATGAAAGGACTGTTTAAAAAGTTGCAGAGAATCAATAGAAAGTAGTAGAAATCAAGGTTCAAGAAGAGAGAAGAGGAAGAAGAAGGTGGCGACAACTAGGATTTGAGAGAGCTTTGGAACATAATCTCCTCTTACACCCCTAATCTCATTTCATTAAGTTAAATTTTAGTAATTTACAGAGAGGCCCTTGGTTGGGCAAAAAATTAAAAACATAACATAAGAAATAATAAGAGCCCAAATTAAGGCCCATTACAGCAAAGAACATAAAAGATTAAAAAAAAAGAAGAAGATAAACAACCT